TCTATCAGCCATGTTTGAGTGGGCATTTATCATGGCCATCTGTCCTTATATCTGGTCATTTGTCAATGAGTTTAAAAGAGATACCATCTCGATCAAAGTTGAGACAATTGTTGAAGTCATATAAATGCTGTAATATTGATTTTGGTAATAAACAGATTTTTTGTGTATTAAAAATAAAGTTAATAAAAATTTTATTTATTTTATTTAAACAATATTTTGTATTGATTGTCAACGTTATGAACGGGGCTGTAGTCCCGTTGCAGGTTAGGGCAGTAAAAATACTATTTTTTAGCAGATAATATAAACATATAAGTTAGTATTTTTATATAAATCACTACACAGGTAGTATAATTAATAACAGACATGTATTACAAAGTTTTAAAGTTTAGCGTTAATATGTATGGCAATCATCGGGTCTTCCCATTTGTTGTCCACCACTATGTGTGCCATTCCTCCCGTTCCCACCACTACTTGTTTGCCCTCACATTTGCCCCCTATTTATAAACACGTAATTAGTTTGATATGTCATTGCATAATGATTATCAGATAAAAATCTAAATGACTTACCAACAATATTGCCTGAAATGACATCACAGTAAGTGCCGGCCGGGAGTCCAGTGTTGAGCTGTTGATCGATGGGGTGGTCGTCATTGTTGATGGCTATGAAGGCTTTGTTGCCGCGACTGAAGGCAATTGAATTGTATTTATTCTCCCACCAGTTGGACACCGATTCAAAACCGGCGACGTTTCTGAATTTAACCATATTATAGATCTGACGCCACCTGTGCTCACAGATCCACACTTTGGGATCACAGCTCAGGTCTGGCTTACGATCGACGGCAACGATGTTGTCGTGAGCGTCATGTGGCGGACCCATCCAGTCGTTGAGGTCTTTGTACTGATCGCTCACTTTCTGTGAATAGTAGTCAATAGTATCACAATAGTAAAATGTGGTAATTAGTATATAATTTATATATTGATTAATTCAATTATGAGCATCACCTGTACATTTCGGGGCCAGTAATAACTGCTCATAACTCGAGGTATAGAGTAAGGCCAGGCAAGCATGAAAGCGGTGGCCATTTTCAATAGCCGGGCGTCAAAGTAAGTGAGTGTAACAGTGATATCGCCGGTGTGTCCGCGTTGTAGATCATGGCTGTCGACCATAACCAGGGAATCATCGCTGGGAAGCATACCCCAACCCTGGGGTCCGGCGCCGTAGTTACGCAAATAGCTCAGTCGTTTGTCGCCCAACTTGCGAAACACCCTGGCCAAATTGTCGTAGTTTTTAAACTCGATCACCCGACCCAACGGCGTATACTCTGTGGCCTTAATTTTCTCGCCTGATATATACTCGTGGTAGAGCATGGGTCGGGCGCCGGACGGGAAATACTTGGTGTTCAAGTTAGTCAAGCGGGCGGTGATATTCTGCAGGTCTTGAGGCCATTGGTGTTTACTGGCGTCGGACCGGAAACCGGCGACACCATGTGCAATCATTTTGTTCAGGAAATCTACCTGTTTCTGTCGCACCCACTCTTTGCCCTGATCCAAGTCCCGGAGTCCTCCCAACTGGCAATTGCGGGCCTCAATCGGGTCGTCGTACTTATCATTACGAATGTCCAGATTGTCACCCGGTGTGGGACAGGCCGGGTGTTGATGAAAGTCTAGGTAACTGTACGGCACCCCATCATACTTGAATTCTTTGCCGTTGTAGGTGTGACCGGCTGTGCCCTTACCTATGTTTATATTAAACCAATAATTAATTAATTATTTTATTGTAAACAAAATTATTCTATACAAGCACACGTACCCTCTTCAGCCATAGTCATATGGTTGAGCACCACATCAACATAGATCCTAACCCCGACTTTATTACATCTGTCAACCATATCGGAGAAAGCCTTCTCGTCGCCCGACCGGCCATTGATCTCATAAGTGACGGGTTGGTAGCGTTCCCACCACGGCCTACGGTCTAGCACTGCCACCTCAGTTACCGGTGATAGTTGTACTCCACCAAAGCCATAGGGGCCCAGAAATAGCTCACACTCTTTGGCCACCTCTGCGTACGTCCACTCCATGAGGTGTACTATTACTGATCGGTTGTCCTTAAAGTGGGGGTCACTGAAGGGACTGCCAGTGATCAGTGCCGGCGCCGCACATATGGCTATTACAAGCCCTACTATTGTTTGACTAAACATTTTACAATTGGTTTTGTAATATGTTATTTGTTTAATGATTTTGTTTTTTAACAATTGAATGAATAGTTGGCTGTTTTGTTGGGCTTTATATACTGGTGTCTATATTATTATCATATCTTTTGCCTGAGAGTACATACCTGTGCTTTCACTCACACTTTGCACAATAATCATTGGCATAACTGCTGAGCACAGGTATGTCTGCGGTCTCACAAGTGCTCGAGAAGTGCTTTAAAGCAATGATAACTATATTTAATAATCAATGCATTGAAATGATTGACAAATAATAGGTTCTGTTGTTGTGCTAAAACACTTGACGTAAATCTCAATGACTATTATTTGATTAAAAGTAGTAAAAGTGATAATATGTTTGATTTAATAATACCATAACGAAAGGCATACGCAAACTACTGGCACAGGTATGCTATGATGGGAACAGACTTATTAAGGCTTTTATTATCTTATAATATTTTTTCGTATATTTATTTTAAAAGATTAATCGCAAAGTTATACTTATTTCTGGACAGAGATTAAGTAAATCCTTTGGGAAAATCTGTTAAATGTTACAAATGTTTTAATTTACTGATAAAAGCATAATTAATTAAATTAGTTAAAATTTAATTGACATATCTTAATAATTTATAATAAATTAAAAATATAAAGCTAATAAATAAAAATGTCATGAATGTTAAAATGATAAACAACTCTTTTCATTGTAATATATTGCATAATAATAAATTGACACTAATATAAAATATGTATATCACTGTAGAATTAATATCATTATAAGCATATTTTAACATAATATTTAAAATTTTCGCATCCGGGTAATTATTGAACATTATTTGACATTATTGGGTCCTATATTTTTATGTTAAATCATTAATTTTTTGTTTAATTTTGCGCCACAAATATGTATATATTGCAGTGAATTTATTATACATTTTATATTTTAATTGTATGTTCTACTGTAAGTGTTTGAATGCTTTCACTTATTTATATTGATATTTTATGTTTAAATATGTAAATAAGTATAACTTATTTACATTGTGTTATTTTTTTAATTAATTTATAAATTATCTGCAAACTAAATAAGGTAATTAAAATATTTTTAATTTAAATAAATTATCAGTTAACTAAATAAAAATTAGATTTTATTATTAAAAAATAATAATATTAGCATATTAATGAAAAGTAATTGCATTAAAAAGTAAAACATCCTATTTACAGTACACCATGATCGCTTCAACAAACATTATATTACCAATATTAATTGGTTATATTATGACCATTCACTGTACGTATGACCACAGCAGTTCATACACCACATCAACCCTAGTATTGGTACAGATAGTGCAACGACACGGGGACCGGACACCGACCAGTTTCTACCCACACGACCCCTACGCCAACGACACGTGGCCGGACGGGTTGGGCGCACTCACACCCAAAGGCAAACACCGTATGTACGAAACGGGCCGACTATTTCGGCACCGATACGGCCAATGGCTGGGAGTGTCGCCCAAAACAATATACCAACGCTCGGCTGCGGCCGACCGGTGTCTGGAGAGCGCCTACTCCGTAGCGGCCGGTATGTATAAACCCCAGGGTCGGTGGGTGTGGGACAAAAAACTACAGTTGGCTCACTTGTGGCAACCCATGGCCGTCGAGACAGTGCCCGCGACTATAGACGCCCTGTTGGAGGCGTCGGCCACCTGTCCCAACGCCCAGAGCATAGAAACACAACAATTAAGCTCAACAGCGGCCACTAATTATTTGACTGAGCACAAGGCGTTTGTACAACAGGTAGAGAATTTAACCAGGGACAATTTTACTACGGTACAACAATTGGCCAATCTGTACGACACGCTGTTTTGTGAGCTAGATTACCCCAAACCCCCGCCCCCGTGGCTCAAGGAGATGGGTGTTAGCAAAACCATGGCTCAGCTCCGGGGCTTTCAGCTCGAGGACTTTACCCTGACTACCAATACGGTGTCTGTGCAGCGCCTACGTGCCGGCCCTCTCATTGGCACATTAATAGCTAATATGAATACTACAATAGCTATGGTGAAAAATACGACCAGGCTTAAAGTGTACCACTACCTGACCCACGATACAGACATAGCGTTTTTGTATCGCGTACTCAATGGTAAAGTTATTTTACCCTCATATGGCTCGGCACTGGTGTTTGAGTTGCACCGAATTAAAGGCAATTATATTGTTAAGGTGTTTTACGCAGACAGTACAAAGATTGGCTATTTTAAATGGCTTGTGGTCAATTTACCCAACTGTTGTGTGCATAATAAACCAATTGGTCCATGTAGTTTCAAAATGTTTGCTAATAGTCTTAATCCTTTTGTACCTGATAATTGGAGTACCGAGTGTGGGCTCCCTAATCCTGTACCTATTTATCCCTAATTATGAAATATACATATTCATTAAAATTACTTAATCCCGATAAATAAATATGTTACCATGTCTGTATTTATTATATAACTAATTATATGTAATAAAATATATTTATTTTAACAATAATTTTATTTATTAAAACAATAAAGTATTTTACATTCGTAAAATCTAATGTATAAAAAAATATAATCATATTTTAACATGTTTATAAAAGTAACCAGAAAAATTATATAAATAAGTGTTGTTATCCTTAGTTAAAGTTTAGAGTTGATATGTATGGCAATCATGGGATCTTCCCATTTGTTGTCCACCACTATGTGTGCCATTCCTCCCGTTCCCACCACCACTTGTTTGCCCTCACATTTGCCACCTATTTATAAACACGTGATCAGTTTGACAATGTTATTGAATCATTTTATCAAATTATAATCTAGATGACTTACCAACAATATTGCCTGATATGACATCACAGTAAGTGCCGGCCGGGAGTCCAGTGTTGAGCTGTTGATCGATGGGGTGGTCGTCATTGTTGAGGGCTATGAAGGCTTTGTTGCCGCGACTGAAGGCAATCGAGTGGTACTTATTCTCCCACCAGTTGGACACCGGTTCAAAACCGGCCATATTTCTAAACTTAACCATATTATAGATCTGACGCCACCTGTGCTCACAGATCCACACTTTGGGATCACAGCTCAGGTCTGGCATACGTTGAACGCCGACTATCCGGTCCTGTGAGTCGTGTGGCGGACCCATCCAATCATTTAAGTCTTTGTATTGATTATCCACTTTCTGTTTCAATAGTAAACATGTGGTAATTAATACTGAATTAATATGTTGGTTAATTTATATATTGGCATTACCTGTACATTCCTGGGCCAGTAGTAACTACTCATAATGCGAGGCACGGCATAAGGCCAGGCAAGCATAAAAGCGGTGGCCATTTTCAGTAGCCGGGCGTCAAAATAGGTGAGCGTAACAGTGATGTCGCCGATGTGTCCGCGTTGGACGTCGTGGTTGTCCACAAACACCAACGAGTCGTCCGATGGCAACATATCCCAGCCCTGGGGTCCGGCGCCGTAGTTACGCAAAAAGCTCAGCATTTTACCGTCCAACTTGCGAAACACCCTGGCCAAATTGTCGTAGTTTTTGAACTCGATCACCCGACCCAACGGTGTATACTCTGTAGCCTTAACTTTCACACCCGATATGAACTCGTTGTAAATGAACGGTCGACTGCCCGCAGGGAAGTATTTTGCGTTCAACGCGGTCAAACGGGTGGTAATATTTTGCAAATCACATGGCCACATTTCTTTAGCCGCGTCCAATCGAAAACCGGCCACACCGAGCGAGGTCAGTTTGTTGAGTAATTGTGCCTGTTTTTGGCGCACCCAATCCCTACTCTGATCTAAGTCCCGGAGTCCTCCCAACTGGCAATTGCGGGCCTCAATCGGGTCGTCGTATTTGTCGTCCCGTATGTTCAGATTGTCACCAGGTGTGGGACAGGCCGGGTGTTGATGGAAGTCCAGGTGAGTGTACGGCACCCCATCATAATTGAACTCGTTGCCGTTGTAGGTGTGACCAGCTGTGCCTACCCCTAGTTTCAAATACAAAATAAATATGATTACGTTAGGTAAAATTAAGTTATATTAGAGTATTATAGTTTATGGTTTATAAATAAATTCACCTTGCTCAGCCATAGTCATATGGTTGAGCACCACATCAACATAGATCCTAACCCCGACTTTATTACATGTGTCAACCATAGCGGCGAACGCTTTCTCGTCACCCGAGCGACCATTGATTTCGTATGTGACGGGTTGGTAGCGTTCCCACCACGGCCTACGTGGTAGGACTGCCACTTCGGTTACGGGCGACACTTGTACCCCTCCGTACCCATAAGGGCCCAGAAATAATTCACATTCTTTGCTTATCTCGTCGTACGTCCACTCCATGAGGTGTACTATTACTGACCGGCTGTCCTTAAAGTGTGGGTCACTGAAGGGACTGCCGGTGATCAGTGCCGGCGCCGCACATATGGCTATTACCAGCGATAGTATTACCGAAATAAACATTTTATAATATATTTTTGTGTGATGTTTTACTTTTTGCGTTAGTAAATGAATTGTTTGTAAGTTTTTATGAAGCTATTTATATAATATAGTTATACAGTATGTATACAATATCTGATACTTACTATCCCATCGTACATATGCTTAAAATTATGGCATAAACTTACTAGCACATTTATGCTCATCTATCTTGCATGTACAGATATTGCTTTATTATAATTTGATTTGTGTATTAATTGATTGTATCGTTTCATACGGTATTGGGAAATACAAACGTAAACTACTGGCACAGGTATGCTTAGGATTGGAGGGAACAGTCGTTTCAGATAACAATAAGCACTTAAAATATTGTATTTTTATGTGACAAATGATTTGTCACAAATGTTTTCATTATTTATTGTAAAACATGTTAAATTAAATTTGTAATAATTAATTACCAGTAATTAGCTATTATTAATAGTCAAATAATTAAGTTTTAATTGATAATTTAATTCTTTATTTACAACTTTACTTACAATTATAGTAGTTTAGTATTTTGTTTGTAATTTTATTATCTATCAGATTATCTATCAGATAATAGCCTATTGTTTTACTAAAATTTTATAATTATTTGTAATGTTTTTTGTTTAGTTGATTATTATAAGCATAAAAATAAAAATATATGATGTTTAATTTAATTCACTATTATTATGACTCATAACAAAATATAAAATAATTTATGAGTGATGAGCGGTTCTCTCCATATGTCAAGCTAAATAATTTTGATTTTATTGTAAACATTTATAATTATATAAAATGACAGTTTGATTATATAAATAAGGTTTTTATATTACAATTTAAACTAAAATTATGATTTTTAATGTTTCAATTTTATTATTTATTATAACATTTGTATTACAAACAATTATAGAAATAAATATATTAAATAAGCAAAATACAAATTTGTAAAAATTTACAATATTAATTAATTTTTGTAGTAATAAATCAGTAAAAATAAAAAATTATTTATTTTTGTCGCACAACATTAAACGTAAATATTAAAATGACAAGCTATTAAATATTAATTAATCCAACCATATTAATTTTTTGATAATTATTCTCTCTATACACTTTATTACTAAAATAGCACCCATCAAATACATAACTAACCCTGCAACTTAAACACACCAAACAACACATAAGCCAATAGACCCATACCGAGCAGAAAGCCAGCAAAACACAATACAGTGCCCCAAACAGGCATCTCGCACTTCCACGAACCATGGCTATATTTGTCCTGGCACCATTTCTCGCCCATTTGATCTTGGTTAGTATCGGCCACCTTGGTAATCTCATCGGTTTCTGTCTGATTCTTGCACTGCATTCGACCCACTTTTTTAACGCAATCAAAATACTCGTAATGAGCGCAACAATAGGGTTTGACTGTATCGTCGTCCGGGTCTATATGCAGGTACACATCCCACGCGAATATGGCATCCCTGCGACACACTTCCACTTCCCATTTGGTCGTGTTTAGTGACCAACACTGGTTAGATTCAGGCACCGGTAGGTCGATGTATGACCCGTGGATGACATTAGTTACTTGTATTATTAATAGTATGGTTAGTATTTTGGTAGTCATTTTTGTGGTTGTTTTGCGTTGTGTCTAGTATTTTGTGGTAATTATTTTGTTGTGTCGTAAAAAAGTGTTTAATGTAAGTAAAAATAGCTATTTTTATTGCGTGATAGGTGTAAGGAATATGATAAATGTTTATTATTTCATTGTCTCTGTGTTTTTAAGTTATTTAACGTAATTAATTCAGTGTAATATCATTGCAAAATTCATCTACTTTTACAATAAATAAAAATTTATTAGTTCATTAATAAAACAAATTTTTGTTATTACATTTACACCATCATCGTAAAATCACATGTAAATACTCTAGATTCTAATTAAATAAACGCAACAAGTCCAAAATTCTTTTATTGATATAATTTCCCTGATTGATACCAAGATTAAAATCATCATGAGACCAGCGGTCATAGGGCACTTCGTAATTGTCCAAAAGCGGAACTATACAAAAAATTTTATAATCATAATTTTTTTTAAATAAAATGCTATAAAATATAAAATTAAATATAAATGTAAATACCCTTAAGTTTACTGATAAGAGTCCTGACATCAGTAATGTTTGCTATCAAATCATTGTTGCCATAAAATATGGCTATATTTGTGGACCTAATGCTCGATAATGGATAGTCCGGTGGCCGGGACTGGCCATACCTCTGCAGGTTGCCGGCAACACCATGGTCAAACAGTCTAAAGCCACCGGCCTGTATTAACTGTGCCATATGGGCGTACACCCACGTGCTAAATGTTGCTCCGTTGTGACTTATATAAATCGGTATCCGAGTCTATAAAATGTTTTATGTTTATAAATCATAATTAAAAATAATGAAACACGTGTTGTCTTACAATGTTTAAATTGCTGGGATCGCGACCACTGGTCGTATAGAAAAATATATCGGCGCATAATTGTTGAAAGTATTGGTTACCGCACAGACAGACGCCTATAAACTGGGCGATTGGCACCGGTATACCCAGCGGTAATGCATATTTTCTATTAATTATATACGTGATAAATTAAGTACTAATTTACTTATTTATATATATGGTGAGAATTTACATGATGTTTGTGATAAATACCTCAGCATTGGCTCTAACGGTGCGATTAGACGTAAAGTGCTGGTCATGTGTGACATGAAGGCAAACGGCGCCAGCGCTACAAATGGCCGGACGTAGCGCTCAAAGTCCGGCGCCAGAGATAACAGTATAAACATTGCCGTCGATCCCAATGAGTGCCCGATATAGCCCACAGAGTCTGGCAAAAAAGTATTAAAATCTTATATATTTGACATGTTTAAATAATTATAACTAAAGTTAATAATGATACTTTTATTGGTGACCCGGAGCACGTACTCGACTACTGCCCGTACATCATATAAGCCTAATTCTGTGAACGTGTACTCCCAGTACGTGCGATCTAAACGCAATAATATAAAACAAATAATTTAATCAATGTAAATTAAATAAACACAGTTATAGTAAAATAAATATTTTCATTAAACAAAAATATACTGAACACTGAATCCAAGAGCTGATGGCCGGTTGAATAGCCGGTGCCTCTAAAGTTGGGCAGCCATACATCGTGGCCACAGGCGGACAGCGTAAACGCCAGATTCCGAGTCACTAAAAGCTGGCAATCATTATACTTATGGTCATTTTCAACATATACCCCGTTGACATTCAATTGGCCGGGTGTTGACATGAGCCAGGAGTCTGAGTTGTAAGTTAGGCCGTGCCATATAATTACTGGCTTATTGTCTAACTTGTTATTATACGGGTTTACTATACGAAATATAGTCAATATATAGCCATCGCCGGTTGTTACCAAGTGCGTTTCCGCTTTAAAACCACGTGATTCTATTAATTGTACCTGGGGATTGCAGAATAATTAATTATACAATTTGATATAATTAATTTTACTGAGTTTCTGAAGTTATCAGGATCTATTGTTAGCGAAATAATGATTAGTTTTGAATAAAATATAATATAAACAAAAATGTTTTTAATATTAAATAAATTTAGATA